TCTATCATCGTTTGTTCTCAAAATCTGGATCTGATGGAAAGTCTGTCAAAAACAGAATTATTATTTGCCGCATACTTTTTTTTTCATTTTTGTTGGCCAGTGTAATAGATCAAATTTCGCATAGAGCTATCAAGAGCTGGTTGTGAATGAGTCGAAACGATCCAAATTTATTTGATGTAGCTTTTATAGTGCAAAAATAACCTTAGTAAGCTTCGTAAATCCATATTTAAATCAGCACTAACTGCTCAAAAGAGCTAAGACGACTACGGGGCGAGGATAATGTATTTTCCTGTCTGTTGCGCAACACCTACAGAATGCCCGTAGATTGGATGATTTAACAAATGTGCGCAAACAAAAGGACTAGAGAGGACTAGCTGTAAACATTTTTTTTGGCGACAGGCAATTTCAACTTTTAGTGCATGTGGACTCGGGTTAATTGAAAATGGGTTTACTTCTTGCTGAAATACCTTCATCAAGGAAAGATATTAGAGTCGTATTTAGACCCAACGCGGAGAAAAACTCAGATTATCTCCACAAAGTACGCAAATAACCCTTAGCTGTTTTATAATGAAAACCATAGAAAAAGTGGCCCACATTCATATCAGAGACACCTATTTCAAAGTAAATCCACCTTTTTTCAAAGCTCAATTAACCTAAAAGTCTAACAAAAGATCCCGACATCATTTTGGGAAAGCTGCACCGCATGGTCTGTGGAGCCATGCCAATACATATGTCTAAAAGAAACACTTGGAATCGCCAAGTCGCATTGCTCTCCAAGCTATTTATTCTCTACCAATCCTCCCTTAACTAAAAGTCTAAACATTGAGTGCATCGTTCTACCAGGGACGTGAGCCGGATGACAAATTTGGTTGGTTCGAAAAACAAAAAAATACTGCGCAAATTTAACTGTCAAGTGTCAAGTGCAACAACGCGCAAGGTTAGGGGTCAAGTGTCTGTCAAATGAGATAGGTTGCCCTTACATTTGATATTGTCACATGGTAAACAAACAAGGGAGGTATTACCATGTTTAACAAAAAGAAAAAAGTGGGTACATTTATGTATTGAAAATTGGTTAAAACGAACCTTTAAACCTTTATGCAAAGTGGTTCGGTTTTCAGTTCGTATCAAACATTTGTAGAAAATTTCGGTTCGGCTAATGGTTCAGTTAATTAATAGAAAAAAGCGGGTTTCCGGTTCAAAACTGGTTCGGTTCAAAATTGGTTCACGTCCCTGCGTTCTACATTAAAAATGTAGCCTTAACCATAATTGTGGATGGATAATTTCTAAAGAAATATTTCAGAATGGCTTTTCACTGAGACACATGGAGCTTGATATTTGTATCTTGCATACATATGTACGTAAATGGAACTTAGTGGAAAACCTTGAAAAGGACGAAATTACATCAGGCTTGTAGCAATGTCTCAGAGCATTTAAATTTATTATAGTAACGAAATAGTGAAATTAAAGTCCTAAAACAATGAAATAAATTTTAAATACGAAAGTACAAAAAATATTAGAAATTTACACAAATCCTTTTCAGAATAATTGAGCTAAGCCGTGACAGCTGTGTGTGATTACAATATATTGAAGGTACATACACATATGTGAGTTTTCTTGCATATAACTGTACGGATTTTGCTGAGTTAAACTTGTTTCGGCCCTTTGTAAGCCAGTCGTTGCTATCGCTAAGTCTCCAATGACTCTTAAAAATATGCAACAAATCTCTTCTCAACTCTGTGCGCGAGTGACTTACGCACATCAAATGTTAACACCAAAACACCAAGGCATATTGAACAGAAAACAGCAGTAGAATAGCTGATCAAGTTTGTTTTATAATATTTTATATTTTATTCCGGAATGCCAAATTTTGCTTATTTACCAATTTTGACATTCTATAGTCTGATTTCAGCAAATGAAAAAATGCCCGCAGACAGTTGTTCTTTCGCTGGTGGCATCACCTGTTCAATGTGCCGTGGTTAAAATTCTTTTCTCATCTTTACTCTCTTTTTTTTTTGTTTTTTTTTTTTGTTTTTGTTTCGTTATATGATTATGTTTCTTGAGACGTTTAACGGGGTGAGACGAACACAAGGGGTAAAACACTAGACAACACACAAACTCAATGAAGTGCTATCATTATTTCGCTTTGGATTTTTCTTTGACAAATAAACAAATAAAAGAAAGCAAACAAAATTAAACAAGTAGAATGATAAAGAAATAAACGAAATGAAATTGCGAATTGAGATAACAAAATAAAAAGAATACAAGAAAATTAAATTTGAAATAAATTATCTGTGTTTGAAGTTGGTAACCCTATAATAGGCAAGAAAAGAAAAAGCTCAAACAAAAGCTTACATTTACTTTGGCTGGTTTAATATATGTTTTTGAAGTAACTAGCGTTTTGGTATTTAAAAAATATATATGAAATAAGAAAAACCAATTTTCATAATAAATTTAATTTAATTAAAAACTAAAATAAAACAAAAAAAAATCTAGCAAAAAAGAAAGATGTATTTATAAAAACATTTCTTTCAGCATAAAAAAACAGAAAACCATTTTCTGAATGAAAAATATTTTTTAATTATTTTTCGTCTTTCCAACGCATAAAATGATAGACTCATTGAGGGGATTTGGTGGAGGATTTAAGGAATGTGAGCTCGGGGTTTGAATATTTTTATTTTTTTTCAATAAATGTGTTTTAAAATAAAAACAAAAAAATGTTTGCGAAATAACCCTTCCAAAGCATAAATTTTGGGCTACTGCACATAATGGAAATCGAAATTCAATCATAAACATAAAAAAAAGTAAATGAATACATTAATACGAGTATGACACGTACTGAATTGAAATCGATATGATTTGAGCTTTTTCTCTTCATTGCACCACAATTATTTTACTATTTAATTTTTCGTTTTTTTTTTTTTTTGTTAGCAAATGTTTAATGTTCGAAACTTAGATTGACTCTAAACTCCTGCTCGCGTTAAAGAGTTTGGGGTGCAAATGTGAGCTAGGTCGTATGGTAATGATTTTTTTATAGAGAATTTTATGTAGATGAAACTAAGTACATATTTTTTTTAAATGCATTTCCTGTCTACAAAGTTCTTAAGAGCTAAGCGAGAAAAAGTCCAACTAGAGCCTAGCTAACATAGTGGGGTGTTGGGGTGTGGGTGTATGTGTGAACGGTAGTACTCACTTTTCACTGTATTCGTCCATGTGTGCGTACGACTGCACCGAGTTCTCCTCAATCAGAAATTTGACGCGCTGATAGAAGGATGCGGTCACGGAGGGTGGCTGCTTGCGCAGCAGCACCTCCACAGGGTCGTTGGAAGACAGGCACATGATATGCTCCGCGCAGGCGGGGTGCGAGCAGCACTCGCTGTCCGAACAATCCGTCATTCCGTCTGAAAAGAGAAAAGAGAAAAGACGACAGCAATGAGTAAGAGCAACGGCTGAAAAACGGTGATGGGGGAGGGTGAGTGTAACGAACAAAAAGGAAATGCCGATCAATCAACTTAATTGACACTTGTAACTGAGGCCGATACGGTTCGGGTTGGCTTGTTGATGGTGGTAGAAGGTGGTCGGAACGCGAGAGGAGAACGCATAAAACGGGACTAATGAGCCGTGTGTTCGGACGCATAGCAACGCACCAACGCACTTCACATCTGTGCTGATAGAATTTCAAATTAGCATAAATAAAAACAGGCTTCCGCACCTCCACTGATTTGAACTGGCGCTTAATTCGCCAACCAGTGGCTTTTTTTCGTCGCGACGAGAAATTGAAATTTAACTCTTCTTAACACATTTCAACGCACTTTGCCCGCGTATGTGGCGGATAATGAAGCAGGCGCCACTACAAATATATTCATATCCACGTCCCATTATTGTTTCTCAGATCTTCAACATACATATTGCCTTTGCTTTGCCGCACACACACACACACACACATGGCTACCGGCTGGCGCACTTTCTTTGATCCTTGCAAATGTCTTGGGCTTTCGTCTCGATTCCTTTCCTCAGCTGGAGTGCGCACTCCAGGATTTGTAGTGCTGCAAATATTGAAACATTTTCAAGTGACGCTCGAGCTGCTTCTGTTGTTTTCTTGTTTTCCTGTTTCCCAGATTGCGTTCAGTTTGCCTTTGCCCTCTACCCCGTACCCCGTCCATTCATTCATTCGCGCTGCGACAATGGCGACAGTAAAGGCATAAAAGCACCAACAAAATGTGAATGCTAAGTGGCTATACGCTTTTAAGTTGATTTCAATATCCGTTTATTTCCTCTTCCCCGTCTGCTTCAACCCACAGGCGACCCGTCGCTTGCTCCTCTGCATCATTCATGTCTCGGTCGCATTCACAGGTAGAACTCGTAATGTTTTATGACACTTCAGGCTTACTTCCTTCCTTCCGTTCGCATTTTTTTATTATTCCATTCCTTTTACATTTGTGGATTGCTGTGTAAGGCAGGCATTTTTGTTGCTGCTTTGGTTGCCTTTGCTGTTGTTGTCCAACTAAACGAATTGTTTATAATCAAACTGCATTGACGACCGAAGAAAAATAAATACAGCGTACATATTTAAGTGCATACGTACGTAGATTTGTGGCGAATTATTTATGTACATTTGTATGCATGTAAAAGGAGATCCTCTTCCTGCTGCAAATTGTCGCTGAATCGGTGATTTGAGTTGCTGGTAGATACTCGTTTGCAGCGAGGGTGGGGGTTCCGGATATGCTTCCGTGAATTGGATTAGTGTGGAAGTGCACACATATGTTTCACAGTACTGCCAAAAAGACAGCTTGATTGAATACGTAAATACGCAAATAAAGTAGAGGAAGTTGAGCGAACGCATGCTGCTTGTACTCCTCCAAGACTGTTGGAAAGAATGTCTGTGATGAGATATTCGATCGAAGGTATTTTCTGAACTCATCGTTCAGCATACCATTACCGCTGCCAAGTAATTCTGGGACAGTTTTTATATGGGGGATGGAATATTTTCAAACCGAACTGATCCCAGAAAAAGTAAGAAATTGAGGCGAAGATCGAAGAGCGTATTTTCTTTTCTGGAGCATAGAGGTAAACCTAACATATTTTAAAAGATTAGGAAGATGCCTTTCAATCTAACAAACCCGTAGTTTGCTTCATAAAGCTATTGGAGAAAAATTCGTAAAAAAAAAATTAAAACCTAATATTACGACGCATGAGTTTTGCGGTACGATACAACAGAAACAAAAGGACAAAAATAAGAAGAAGATAGCGTCAACGGTAGCCGGCCTTTTTCGGCATGCTCCATTATGATGAAATAGTTTTTTCGATTGCAGAAACCAAGACGGCAATGATTTTCATATTTAATTTACCTACACAGATCTAATACGGAGATTTGCGACGATAAGTATTAACATCGTAATGAAATTTTTTCTGCTCTTAAATTGGAGCAGTCGCACGAACCCTCCAAATAAACGGATATGGACATTTTTGCTCTGAAGTGACGTGACATTTATATGACAAAATTTAAAAAAATCTAATGAACAAGTCAACATTTTAAAAAGGTTTGCTATATTTGTATACAGAGAAATTAAATAGTCCTTAATTCTGTAAAAAATGAAAACAATTGATAGCAATGCGCTGGTGTGACGTGAAAAAAAAACAATGGATTTGGACTTGGTTTGCAAAGTTACAAATTTCTCTGAATTGGGCAAGACGATGTTTTTTGTAATTTTTAAAGTATCTAAGGTTTATTATCGAGGTTTTAAATGTTAACATCTTTCCTGTTTTTATTATGGGCATGACGTTACTAAAAACTGTATTGAAAATTGGTTTGTTAATATTGTTTTTAAAAGAATTTTTAATGCAAACAAAACCTGAATTTTATGTCGAATATATTTTTTATTTTCACTTCACCGCCACCTAGCGGTTCTATTTTTTTTACAAATCTATGTCTCACTGTCTTTAAATTAAATGTGCCAAATATGAAACAAATCGGCTTTTTTAAATATCTCGACCCTGGCTCCACCAAGCACCCATTTGCAATAGGCAATTTTTACAGAAAAGATTATAACACCGCGCGACAGTAAAATTTACACAAACACAAAAAAACTAAAATACTCGCGAATATGTCTGACATCAGAAATTCTTTTAAAAAGACTTTAACATTTCAAAGATATATGTAATTACTTGATTGAAAAAATCCATACCAGAAGAGGATACCAAATGAAATATAAAATTCTATAAAAATGGAAAATATTTACTTTTTTCGTGCACAAGGACGAATATTAAAAATGTACTTTTAAAATTTTATCCTTGAATATCCTTAAAAATTTTCATTATTTATTTAACAAAAAATAAAATAAAAATATGCCTTAACGAAACGTCCATATCCTCGAATTTCGTCCTTCTAAATTTGTTAGTTGAGGATATAAAATTTAGTAAAAGGCATTTTCAAAATATCTTCGTCCTTGTGAACGAAAAAATTGTATTTCTAAAAAAATTTTCTCTTTCATTTGGTAGTCATATCATTACTCTGTATTTCACTAATTTTTTTTTTTAATACTTTTTTGGAATGCACATATCGCTAGCTTAGAGCGAAAAGTTGCTAAGTCCCATTTCACAAATTTTACAGGAGAGAAAAAGACTTTTTATAGCCATTTTCTTCAAGTACTTCGCAAAACTTTGAATACAGCATTTCGTACTATTTTGGCTTTGCTGTATTCTCGGTGCTTCTTTTTTCGAAACAATGGCTGCATTTCTTTATTCATTCTGAACGTTTTTATTTATTTATTCTTTAGAACGTTCCTGATGATATGTTGACGTACATTTCAAACGCATTCTGTTTATTCCGGCTGTGAAATGGGATTATCCGGAATGTATAAAGAAACGCAGCCAATGAATTTTATATTTCTCTATCTATAGAAGTAAACTCGGCAACTTTTCACTTTAAGCAAGCGATGTGTATCTCTGAAATTTCAAAGTCTTTAAAAAAAAACAACAAAAAAGCCTAACGTCAGAGAGAAAGAATAAAAACACAGTTTTATACATCGTGGAATTATACAAGGTGTTGTACGTAGTGACAGCTCATGTCGACGGCTCCCTTACAAAAGGTTGTAATATGGAAGCACGAGAGAAACGGGAAGAAAAAAAGCCCGCTTTGCGAAGTAGTACGAAATTTGGTACTATTTTTCATATCAAATTTTGCATATAAATAGTTACAAACGGTATATTATGATAAGCTAAATTCGCGAAAGTGTATATATAACGTAGTACTTATGCAATAAATGGTATGCAACCTCCCAGGGTGGTCACCGGTTTAAAAAATCAGATTCCACTTTAATTTAGGGAATTAGATAATTCAAATATGTATCACAGTAAAAGTAAGAAAATGTAATAAAACATTGAGAAATACATAGTTTAGGAAGAGCCTGCCTGAAACTATACAAAAAAGCA